TTGAAGAAAAAGTGACTTGTTTTGGAATGTCGAGTTTGACTTACTTAAGGAACATCCAGAAGGAATATTCCTGAAGGAACATGTCTAGAAGAAATTTTGATATATGAGCTAGAACTCAGGAAAGAGATCTGGGCTGACATGTAGTTGCAGCAATTACAGTTCATCCTTGAACAATGCGGGTGTTGGGGGCCCCAACTATCCCCTTTGCACAAAGTGGAACATGCACGTACATGTTAAGTCGACCCTCGCATACGGGGATTCCCAACCAGGGACCAAAAATACTTTTGATCCATGCTTAGCTGAATCCGCACATGCTGAAACCTGGGGATTTCAGGGCTGGCTGTGTATTTATTGAAAAAAATTTCACACAGTTCAAACCTTCTGTTGGTCAAGGGTCAACTATATTATCAGATGGAGCAGGAGTTAGTGTTTGTAAGAAGCAGGCCTTAGCGTATGAAGGAATCACCCAAGTGCTTGCTAAATGCCAACTCCTTAGTCTAATCCTCAGAGGTTCTCGTTAAATGGGTCTGGGAAGAGGCCCAGGAATCAATATTTAAGTAAGCTTTAAATAAGCTTCCCAGTGACTGTACTGCAGATGGTCTATAGCAAGAGCAAGCTACAAAGAAGTGGTGTCAGGAAGCTAGAACGTGGCAAAGTTCAAGGAGTTGAAGTGGTGATGTGAATATAGCCAGGAGGCTGAGAAAGCTTGAAACCGAAAGCATCCATTGGACTTGGCAGCCTACAGAAGGGCACTGGTGACTTGGAAGAGCAAGTGCAGTGAGGTGGAGAGAGTAGGCACTGACTGCAGTAGGTAGAAGAGGGGTTGGGCTAGGGAGGAGGATATGATGAATGAGTAAGGAAAGGAAATAGGTTGTGACAGAATTTGAAATCTAATAGTCAAAGGACCTGGTTCAAGCTCTAAGTGTGGTGTTTAGTGGTTATATTATACATCTTCACACAACCCATTTTCTTGTTTTTAATATGTCAGTAATGTGTGTTGCAGAGCCCTTTGTACAAGGATGATATTGCATGTGAAAAAATGTTGTAAACTGCTCTTTCAAACCTTTCTAATAATATTAACAAAATAAAAGGCGCAAAATCCTAAAGAGTTCTATACAGCAGGCATCTTATTTGTGTTTGTCCACTGTGACAAAACATGTCCAATGTCAGTCATTGGAGTACTTGCCCCATAAAAGCAGAGGGCTTTAAAGGGAAAAGAATCATTTGTAATGTCTTAAACAGACCAATGCTCTTACTTTACAATTGAGGATCCAAGGGTTTAACTGGGGAATGGAAGTTAAATGATTTGTTCAGAGTCATACAACTAATTAATAGCAAAGCCAGATATAAAATTTGGTCAGTCATCTGACTGAATACAGTCTCCCCCTACTCAGCTGCTGCCTACACCTATATTATAACACCTCTTAATTCTCTATCATATGAATTTTGGTCCTTCGCAGTACAGAGAGATGTAGATGATTTGGAACTTTGCTGATTGGGGTAAGGAAGAGTTGTTTAATTTGAACAATTCCGGAGGTTCAAAATGGTACTTCCTTAAGACATTTTTGAACTATTTTTTTCCCTCTTATTCTCAAGTCTCCTGCAAGGTGCCACCGTAGTCCAGAATCCCAGCTGCAGTAGAAGGATCAGCCAGCAGCAGGGTTAGTGCTGTTATGTATTTTCTTTCAGTGACCCCCCTTTATAATTGAAGAGCTCTCCAAAGATCAATATAAAGACTGTTGTTTGAGACAGGTCTTGAGTAATTCACAGGCTTGAAAACAGTTGTTATGGAAGATTTGTTTTTATGACAAGGAAAGAGATGCTACTTCCCACACTATACTTAAATATTTACTTCTCCATTTCCCTTTTTAAGCTACCTGAGGCTGGCCAAATCTTTTAATCCCTGTTACCCAGAAGAATGTATGCCATGTAGTAGGGATCTTAAATATGGTTGTTAATGAATGAGTGAAATAATTTTATTAATAGTTCTCTGATCAGTTTATTCTCTAACAGAAAAATAATTCCTAATAAATTGACTCCCACCCATTAGTTTTCTTCCCTGTCTTATCTCCCTCCCTTCTGCCTAGACTTCCACTAAGCTAATTGGATCATCTACTTTGGCCTTCCTTATAACTTTTCATGATATATAATACTCTACAGTTGACTAGTTAAAGGAAGTGTCTACTATATTCTTCATTTTGTGAACTAATAATGTAACAAAATATATAAAGTAAAACAAATATATTTGGACAGACAACCTAATCAAAGTCACACCACTTTGTTGGTAGATTTTAAATAAACATTAATGTGTATGAATAAGAGATGTATCTTGATAGAAAGGAAAATTTTCTTTCAAGAGTCTCTTTTCCATTTTCCATTCTCTTTAAAGGGAGGGGAAACTGATTTGCTGTTTTCTTAGATGTCACCCAGTTCTGTTTCTTTTTTCATATTTTAAGAAACTTTCCTTTGAGTTTTTCTTGTCATTGTGTGTATTTTTCTGTAATACTTTAACTGGAAGCTCTTTAGAACAAGGGTTGCCCTTTATTTATACAGAGTAGTGTTTATTTTTAGTGCCCAGTACTTTTTAAACCTCTTCTCTTTTTTTGGAGCAGCTGCACTAGCCATAGGATAATACACCTCAAAAAAGCAGATCATGATATAAGAAACTGAAGAGTTTCACAGGATGGAAATATAAAAAGAATGCAATAAAATCAGAGGTTATATGAGTTTAGGTCTGAGTCAGTTATTGAAGAGATATGGGGGATAAAAAGGAGATATGTTATTAGGAAATAACTCTGTTGGGAGGTCAAGGAATGGGAAGAAAATGAAGTTCAATAACTATTCAAGTACTGATTTAAGGTTGGGTAGGATTCAAGGGATGGGGCGGGCAGGATCCCTAGCCTCCTGCAGTGGAGACACACATACACACAAAACTGGAAGGTAAAGCAGACCAGGATAAGGTGACAAGGTTACAGAGAGGGGGCATTCTAGAAAAATTTTAAGAAAAATACAATGTTACTAATTAAGGGTGAAAATTATCCAGAATGCCTGACATTCTAATATATGATGGTACTTTGATTACCTCCTGGAAGCCACAAGGACTATTATTTCCCCAAATCAGAAGCATGCCTCATTTTGTATGTGATTCCCTAAGTTTTTTATTTACTGCTTTTCCTAAATGTTGGAATATATTATAGAATTGTACTGAAGATTTTAGGCTACCATTTCAGCAATGGTAACGTACATGTTTTTATTAAATGAATCTCTATCACTTTTTGAAATATTTCTTGCACTTTCTGAAATATTTTTTTGCTAAAAGGAATCCCCATAAAACATATGGCCAGCTTAAAGACTTCTCAGCAATACATAGTCAAAAAGTCAAACATTATAGCTGGACCAAGAGGCACCAACTTTCTAAAGTTATAATATTTAAAAGATTCGCTTCAGATTTTTAAAATTTGTAATGATAGCACAATATAAAGTCAATAGCTCTTGATTTTCTTTCTATGCTATATCCAGTGACCACTGATGGTAATGTGAAACATTTCCTGCTAGTTATTCATTGATTTTTTTTCAAAAGTAATTTTTTCCCCCAGAGACTGGGCAGGAGATAAGATGTCAAGAAGTAATAAGTAGTGAAATTAAAGAGGGGAATGCAAAGGAACCAAAAAGAGAAAACATTAAAGTGACGTTATTTCTTTCTCCCTGTGTATGCAGATAGACAGGAAAATTATAGCAGTAATTGCAGACTCCTTTTCACCAAAGACAGAATGGCCTTGGGGAATTAGAATAGGAGAAAAAAAGTCCATAAAACTACATTCTCATCCAGACCCCACCTGACTTGCTGGATATGGCTTTGGCCAACGTCATTTACCCTTTCTGTGCCTTAGTTTCTTTAAAAATTGAAAAGATTATTTGCCTCTTTGTGCTACTGGCAAGATAAATGAAATAATGCTTCAGCAGCACCTCCAAACTGGTGAGAAATAGGTTCTATAAGAATACAAAGTACAGTAGTACTATTATTATTGAACTGTGGATCCTGTTGGAGTGAGTCATCTTGCTGCAAAGATGCCTAAGCAATTCCAAGTGTGGCTAAGGACCAGATACAATGGGAAGAGTAAAGTACTCTTAAAACAGTGTTAAGGAAGATCTCATTTGCAGTGAAATATGCCCTTCCCTTCTTCAAAGAACAAAAAGGTGGGGTGAAGAAGAGGGAGGGTAAACAAGATTTTTAGAATAAGTATAGCAATGTGGTTGTACAAATAGACTTTTGAAATACTAGAGCCTGTTTGAATTCAGGCTTTGCCACTTACTACTATGACCTTGGGGAAGTTGCTGTTTCTATAAACCTCATTTTTCCCATTCATTAAATGGGGATTATAACAGCATCATTAGCGTCGCTGTGATTTAAAATGTACACCCTTTCAAGGACTCTGCAAAGTTAGCTATTACTGTAATTTATGGGAGATAAGGGACAGTAGAAATCCAGATTGACAATAAGTGAACCTTTTTAAAAAATATAAGAGAAAAAGACAAGTTTTTACAAAACATTATATGGTTTAAGGAAGGAGGAAAATTTGTGAAGTCCGAATCCATTTACATTTCACCAGTCAGGTAACTAGTCAAACCTTTGCTATCTGACGCACAAAATACAAATAGGAGAAACCTTTCGGGAGCTTTCTATTTTAAAGGTAGAAATATATATTTTAAAAAATCTCTTTGGATAGCCAGTATATCTTATAAAACAAAGCTCATACGCTGTGCTTTTGTTGTTTTAAAACAAGGAGCAATCACGGGCGTGGGGACTACGCTCTCTGGCGTCGCGCTTCATGCTGGGAAGCTTCGGGGCAAAGCCCTGGGGGCAGAGGCGTTTTTTTTTCTGGGTTTTTATATCGATCCCGGAACCTTCGCTCCAGCGGGCGCGGGGGCGGGGGGGCAGGGGGCGGGAGCGCGGGAGGGGCGCGAGGGAGTGTTTTGGTCGCGGGGCGCGGCGCCGCTCGCCCATCCCCCGAGCGCGCGGCGGGGCGGCTGGCGGGCGGTCACAGAGGATGCGGAGGGGCGGCGACGAGCACCGGACCCAGCTGGGGCGGCAGGGCGGGCGCCGCCCGAGGGGGTAGGGCGCGCGCGGGGGCGCGCCGGGCTGGAAAGGCGCGCTCCGGCCGCGTTTGCTCCGCGTTCTCCTCGCTCGCTCGCTCCCTCCTCCCGCGGCGGCAGCAGGAGAAGGCGGCGGCGGCCGTGGCTGGGGATCAGACATGGCGGCGGATCTGAACCTGGAGTGTATCTGTTCGCTGCCCCGGTCCTGGACTTACGGGATCACCAGGGGCGGCCGAGTCTTTTTCATCAAGTAAAGAGCTGGGGACGGCGTGGGGACCCGGAGGGTGCGGGAGGCTGCCGAGAAGGGGGGAGAGAGCCCGGTCTGTGCCGCTTCAGCCCCCTCGGCTCCTCTCGCGCCCCCACTCACGCTCGGTCTCTGCCCTTTCTCTCACCCCTGCAGCGAGGAGGCTAAGAGCACCACCTGGCTGCATCCTGTCACTGGCGAGGCCGTGGTCACCGGACACCGTCGGCAGAGTACAGGTAACGCTGAGCCCGGCCGGGCCCCATCGGAGTTGGGCTCCGCCTGGAGGAGGCGGCAGATCACGGCCACCCGCCTCCCGGCAACCTGCCCCGAGCTGCAGTCCCGGGAGGCGGCGAGGTGAGGCGGGGGTCAGCAGGGGACCCGCCACCGGAGTTCTTTCGAGTCTCTGGACGCCCCTCGTTTCCACAGCCTTTCATCACCACTTGGAGACGGCGCCCTCTTCCTGCGCCCTCTCCCCATCCCAACCTGGACAACCCTCACGCCCCTGTGGTGGCCGACTCCCCTCTCCCTGGAATCCTGAGTTTTACCTCTCGCAGCCACTCCTCACTTTTACTACTCTCCCCCGCCCCTTCCAAGTCCCCCACCCCATTTCAATGTTTAGGAAGACCGTTTCCACTCCCCTCCCTGCAGCCTGGGACCCTGCCACTGGTTCGCTGAGAAAAAGTGTTCACATCCTCTCCCTCCTCCCGGGAGAGCTGCCTCCTGCTGTGCAGCTTCCTCCTCCTACTAGGTGGGATTTGTGGGTAGGTGCAGAAGAGAGAAGTTTGGGGGTGCTGTGATCCTATCTGACCAAGATCAGCTCAGGAAATGCTGGGCCCTTTCCCTCCTGCCGGAGGAGGCATTTACAGCCGCACTTGCTGGCCAGACAGATTCAAAGTCCCCGGCAGCCGCACAGAGGTTGTACAGCCTGCCAGGAGGCGGTGGGCGTGCAAGGGGGTGTCCCTTGTGTGGGCATTTGTGCCCTAATTGGAGGAGATCGGCGGGGAAGCAGATCTCTCCTGTTCCTTGGGTAGGCTGTTTGCTAAAATGTGAGTTGAGCTGGAGAAAGGCTGGTTGTAGCTTCAGTGCCGGTCTGGCTTTCTTTTGTCGTTCTTTGTTTACATTCATGAAACTTGTTTGTCTTTGAAATGTAACATGTGTTCTCTAACTGGCCTGCCTCTATTTCTCGTGATTGGAGGGGCTTAAGAACTGTTTGGGTCGAAGGTGAGGCCGCCTCCAGCAGTTCTTCACAGCTGCCTTCCAGGATACTACTTTCTCTCCAACTCTAGGATTCTGACTCTCTTAAAGTTGGCAGGATATTAAACCTGCTTTTTCTTTCAAATTCTGGAGTTCACTAAAGTGACTAATGTCTCTAAATTTGGCAAAAAGGTGGAGGAGGAAAGGGAAGGTTGGTGTAGCAAACATGAGATTACATTTTTAAGGCATTTCTGACTAATAACACCGTCATATTTCCTCACTCCTCTGAGCAGTATTTGACTTAAATATACCTTCCAATGTTTTGCATGTTTATTTCAACTCTGCTGGCCTCTTTGCCTTATGGATAGTAGCAGATTTATTTTGGAGACAATCTAGTATTTAAATTATTTAACCTAATTGTGGAATTGTTTCTTATTTTGGTTATGTGTAATGTAAATTTGTATCGCATTTTACCCCCATACATTTGATAACATTGACACCACAGAAAAATTTTATTCTCCTACATTATTTCACGTTAATAATTTAAAAACATGATTATGATTTTTTCTGGTTTGGTTTATTTGCTTTGACTCTGGTTTTGTACTCACATTAATGGCTTTTTATTTCAGAGAGGTACTGTGATTAAATCCAAGCCACTAGTCATTTGTAAGTAATATGTAATAAAGTTACCATGGTTCAGCTGCATTATTCCCAGGTTTATTACTTGAAACTTCACATCTCTTAAAGTCAAGTCAATAGAAACATACATGTAGAAGTATGTGATGTCAGATTTCTTTTCCCTTAATTTAGTACTTTGGAAGTTTTTTCTCATCAATGAAACTTCCTGGATGGATCATTTAGGTAGCTGAAGGGTATGGTCTTAAATAGACACATTATACCTGAGAAGGAGCAGGTGTTGATTTTAATGCACAGGTTTTTTGTTTTGTTTGTTTTGGCTTGCTTTTTTTCTGAGGGGGGGCAACCATTCATAGGTATTTTACCCTAGGATTAGACGGCTTCTGTTTGGTCTCTCTCTGATCATTAAAGTGTATACATCCTATCAGATAATCTCTGATGTTGTGATGCTTTTATGATGGTTTGCAGTTTGAATTGCTGTTTCCCCAAAAATATTTTATCTACTGTGAGCTTTATTACCAGTTAAACACTTTTTTGTTTGAAACCGACTTAATAAATGAAGATAGCTGATTGTGAAAAGGATTGAAACTTATTTTGTTGTCCTGGTGAGATAATACTAATTGTGAAATGTATGTTTTTTAGATTTGCCTACTGGCTGGGAAGAAGCATATACTTTTGAAGGTGCAAGATACTATATAAAGTGAGTTTTCTTATTATGTTTTTTCCTTGGCTATTCAAACGTTGCAATTAATGTTCAGTTGAATATTTGTATGTCTAGATAGGATTATGGTTTTTTAAGGTTTATTATGTAATATTGACTTCATCCTTTGTATAATGGTGGAATTTTGAGAGAAACAATGATACTCTAGTTTTTTTGTGTTATTTGCCTGGACATTCATTCATTGATTTGGAAATTGGACCATTTATGGCCACAATTACCTTTTTGGTTCTTCTGATTCCTGGGTGATACAGCATTATAACATTTTTGTCTTTAGCATGTTATCTTTTTTTTTGCTTTTTATGTGAATTTTTTCATGTGTTTTTTTGATCAGAGCTATTAGTAAGTAGCAGAAGTGAGGTAGATGTAGGGCTGGGTTACAGCCTGAGGAACAATGACAGGGCTGAAAGGAAAAACAAGTGTTCCCACAAACATCTGTTGGGTATCTGTGATGTGCTCAGTTTGTTTAAATATCTCAGTTTTTAAAATGTATCTAAATGTGTTGCTGATGTTTGTGATAGAATAAAAGGCTTTCAGTGCAGCATGCAGAGGGGAGATGACCAGTCACTCCTAACCTTTAAACTAATGCTATAAGAGATTGAATTTCTAGTCACAGTTCACTTGGTAGTACTTTGGGACAAATGCAATGCTTGAGGTCAAATTATGTAGGAAAAATTTTTATTCCCCAAGGGAGAATAAAGGTGGTTTTATTTTCATTTTAAATTAGAAGCTTATTTATTTAAGAGCTTATTTTTGTTGTTTTAAAATTTTTTGCTTAATTTTAAGGAACTGAAGCTGGAAAGAGAATAGATTTGAGTGACAGGTCAATAGTTGGTTAATAATTACAGGTACCTAGCCAAAGTTACCATTATTTCATCCAGCCCTGTAAGGTATTTTAGTAAATGACATTTTTAAGACCATGCCATACTTCCAGTGAATTATAATTGGTTGTTTGGCGTCAACAGTTTTTAGAACGGTATTTATATAAAATGTCAAAGCATATTTATGGGTATTAGAAATGCTTGCTTTTGGATGTAGAAAGAGGGAAAGCACAGGTGTGGTACTTCTGGATGTTTTTCAGTTGCAGCTTTTATTTGGAGATTGTGTTACACATTATTAAATGGATTAAAACTAAAGGTATGAGTGAAGTACAGCATCATCAAGTATTTTTTCTAGTGTTTATTTTCATCTTAATTTAAAGGCAGTTTTTATTGCCATGAAAAGAGATGCTTTTTCTTTTTCTTTTTCTTTTTTTTTGGATGTCTTGGTATTTCTGAAGATGGAGTTCATTTATTTTTATTTAATGTAACTTGAACTGCATCAGTCTCACTGATCTTACAAAAATAGGAGTTACACAACAATTCTTAGTTATGTTTTAATTTCTGTGACTGTGTGCATTCATAGATGAATGTTTGAGAGTGCAAAATGTTATTCTGTGTGGGCTGAATATGTATATTTTAATTCAGAACTAAGCTGTTAAAGAGAGACTGAGTTTTCTTCTACTAGCCATTTTGATTAGATTTTCTTTTATGCTGACTTAAACAAATTAGCATCTTTTTTGAGTGTCATGCCTAAGTAAGTTTTTCAGGAAAATGAGGACAATATTAAGAAAGCTGTAATTTTACTTTAACTCTGAGGACATTTTAAACTAGTATTTTTCAGTTATGTGCTGTTAAGAGACGGCTAATAATTGTGTCTAAAAGTAACAATAAAAAATTTAGGTTATGAAAGTAATTTGTTCTAAAATTGAGCATGTTAGGGAAACATCACTCATTAAACTTCCTTTATGTAAAATATATGATTTGTTGATTGATAGATTCTACTGCCCTTCCTTTCTGGATTATATTAGAGGACTAATTTTTAAAAAAATATTTTTTAAGATTTTATTCATTTACTTTTAGAGAGGGGAAGGGAGAAAGAAGGAGAGGGGGAGACATCAAAGTGTGAGTGATACTACATGGATTGGTTGCTTCTTGCATGCACCCATATGGGGACCTGGCCCACAACCCAGGCATGTGCCCTGACTGGGAATTGAACCAGCTACCCTTCTGTTTGCAGGCTGGCACTCAATCCACTGAGCTGTACCTGCCAGGGCAAAAGACTAATTTCTTTTAAGAATAGTTAAATCCCTAATGTAGGTTCTGATTTCCTAGAAACTTTTTACTTGTTTTTGTTAGTAGCAGTTAGGGATTATTGCTCAGAATGGTAGGTTACCAAAAAGAATTATCTTTGATAATTTTTGGTATTGACAATTGAGTCATTGTGGGTGGTAAGGCATCTGAGTGGGGAAGAGTGAGAAGAACTAGACAGTAGTATTTTTTTTAAGATTTTATTTTTAGACAGAGGGGAAGGGAAGGAGAAAGAGAGGGAGAGAAACATCAATGTGTGGTTGCCTCTCGTGTGCCCCCTACTGGGAACCTGGCTGGCACCCAGGTATTGAACCAGCGACCCTTTGGTTTGACCCCATCCACTGAGCCACACAGCCATGGCAAGACAGTAGTCTTAAACCTCTTAAAACACTTTGGAGGTCAGTCTTCACATCTTTAAATTAGACCAGCTGAGAAAGGCAACTTCTAAATTCTATCTAAATTTCTTTGAATTTTATACTGTTGTGAGAATTTACAATAATCTACGAAATAATGAACTCACAGTGCCAAGAAGAGGTGATGTGGGAAGGAGGGAAAGCTGCTTGGCTTTCCTATCTTGCTTAACTATTTTATTTTAGTCTCACTCGTCAAGCTTTTACAGAAAAGTACGATGGATGTAGTGCCCCAGTTGTGCGTGCTTTCTTTCTTCCTGGTGCTGCAGTTTGTACTTTGTGTGCATGCCTTCCCCGCAGAGCTGCATGAAACAGTTAATAGTGCTAATGTCAACAAAGGACTCGATTAGAGTAAGAGTTGTACAGATACGAGTTGGATAATCAGTTTAACGTCATACATTCTTTCAAATTGGTTTTTAATAAAAGTATACAGTTAGACCACAGAATATATAATATAGAAAATGTATTTTACTCTAGACCCATTTGGCCCCAAAATGGTAGTATTTGAAAATTAATTCTTTATCTTAAATATAAATATTTAATACTTTAATTTTTTTCCGAGAAAAGTACTTTTTCCATGTACCTTAAGGTAGCCAGCCTCTAAAATACTTTATTATGTGTGTGTAAATATATGTACACACAGTTTGAATTTGATTATTGAGTTTCTGTATTGTTTTTACAACTTAATTCATGCTACTTATCTTTAGCAGTAATTGTTAGTGAGTTTTATAATTTATAAAGTATAGCTTTAAATATTCAAATACCTTAGCTCATAAAGTACAGAAAATAATCTTATGTATTTAAAAGTTATAAAGCTCTCTGCTTACTCTGTGAAGGATACCACTTAATGACTCTGTAGTGACAGGTCATGGCAACTTAAAATGGATGTGTCGTTGACTGTTCCTTTGTGCCTCGAAGCTTTGAGATGGTTAATGTAAAGTGCCAAGGAAATCTTACAGCAGTGTTCTCTGAAGGGTGAGAAACTTTGCCCTGATTATTTAAAGGTCATTGTTTTATGTGGCAGGATGGGAGATGAAAAAAAGTCATTGCAGGATAATAAAATAGTATATAAATTTTGAGGTTGTATTTTCACATTGCTTTCTCCTTGACTTAAAATTTTTTCAGTTCTGAAAAAATGAACTTTTTCTTAGATATGCAAATAGAGCAGTGTTTGATTTTGACTAACAAAGTTTTATTTCAATATCTGCAATAGCAGGATCTAACGTGTGTTGAGAATTTCAAACTAACTTGCAGTGAGGGGAATTGTTACATGAAGTAGCTATTCAAGGATGTAAGAGAGAAAAAAATGTTTCTTCGTAGGTTATTACAATACAGAATAATGAGTGAAGGTGGGGAATAGGACATAATTGCCACAAGAATGTTAGAATATATTACTATGTATTTGATACTTAAAATTTGTTTGGTATATTTGGTAGTACTATAATATTAAAATTGGATTTTGATTACTTAAGCAATAACTATATATTGCTCAGAACAATTCATGGGCGTTGTATTTCTTTTTCATGTTCATAACAGAGTTTGGACTGTAATAAGTAATTCTTACTTGTGTAAAGCACTTTTTACTAATTCAGTAGGCAAAGCACAGCTAGGAATAACCTTCAAGGAGTTTGCAGTAAAAGACGTACATTAAAAGATGGAGATGGTGTGGGAAACATGGACTTACTTAGTGTGCGGCATTTCAGCATAGCATTAATTTAATCTTCACGGTAGCCTTTTGTTTTCTTTGTCTTTTCTCAGATGATGAAACTGAAACTTAAAGAGGTTAAGGACCAACTGTAGGTCATATACCTTCACTGCTAGTCACTGGCATTCAAATTCAGGGCTCCGGGCTAAAACCCTTCTATACCTAAAAATACAGGGAAGTAATAGCAGGTTTTATAATATGTATCCCTCTGTAAGTTGGTTGCTTGGGACTAGAGGTATTCTTTCATAGAAACAAGAGCAGAGGTTAGGTTAGTAGGCCAGCCTCCAAACAAAAGCTTATTCAACGCAAAAACTTGTTGACTAGTATGTATATTGACAGTGTCTTAGAATTTGGTCATTTCTTTTCATCTGTTGAATACTTGCGAATGCCTAGTAAATGCCAGGCACTATTCTAGGGGCTTAGAGAATAACGGGTGACCACTGTACAGGGACTCTGCCTTCCTGGAGCTTGCAGTCTAGTAGGAGAAAGACATTAAAACAAAAAAAGAAATGGGGAAAAATGTGATTTTAAAATGCCATTTTTATAAAGGGAAAGAAGAGTGTTCTGTGACAGATTAGGAAAGTTTGCCATAAATAACTGTTTCAATAATAAAATGCATGTAGACTTTCCAGATTGGGATACCAGGACTTGCAACCATATGGAATGTTATTGTGGAATCCCACTGTCCATCTTTGTGGCCCCAGGGCCACTGCTCAAGACTGGGCCTGCCCAGTGTCC